ACATTTCTTCTACTGTGAAGTTTAATCTTCTGTTTTAAATTTTATAGTTTTTTAGAAGATGCCTGTATTACTCTGCCAGGGCTGCCATAACAAAATATCACAGACTAGGTGACTTAAACAGCAGACATTCATTCCCTCACTGTTCTGGCAACTGAAAGTCCAGGATCAAGGGACTGGTAAGTTGGATTCTCCTGAGGTCTTACTCCTTCACTTGGAGATGGCTACCTTCTCACATGGCCTTTATAGAAAGTAAATCAGTTTCCTCTAATTTCCTCCATGTTTTTATAATAAGCTATCAAAATGAGCATTCTGTGAGCATGTCTCCTCCTCCACAGGAGGAGTATCTCCTTCCTCCACATTTAGTAGTATCTCTTCCTCCACATTTAAGGACAACGGTGCTATTGGATTAGGGCCACACACTTATGACCTCATTGAACCTTAATTATCTTTTTTAAAGGCTCTGTCTCCAAATGTAGTTATAGGTGAGTTAGGGCTTCAATGTACGACTTTGGGGGGAAAAATTAACAATGTCCATCCCAAATAATAAATATGGTTTGTGATCAAGAGTAGTAATGTCTTTTTTAGAACCATTGTATTTACTTAAGTCCCTTCTTAAAGCATATGATAGACTCATGGTTGTGGAATGCATGAAACAATTCAGAATGTCATTTTGATAGCTTATTATAAAAACATGGAGGAATTAGAGGAAACTGATTTACTTTCTATATGTATAATTATGATTCACTTACCATTTGAGCCTATGTTTTCTCATTTGTAAAACAAGGAATTCATAGTTATAATTATTCTGCAATGAATTCAATCAGATAATAGAGATAAAGAAGGACATTGAAAAATGTAAAGCACCGTACAAATATTGGTTATTTTCACTGTTTTCCATGAGTGTACTCCACAAACTATAACCTGTAGTAATATTCAAAATAATATTTATTCCTTTCAAGGAAATTGAAGGAGACATAAATTAAACAAAATAAACCAAAATGTAAGCATGAAATAGACCATGGGCAATATATTTCAGTAAACAGGAGAATTGAAATTTTCCTCTGGAAATAGGTTAAGTATGAGGGAAATTATTAATGTGGAGTTTAGTTACTTTTATGAAAATGCTAAGCTACATAAGTACAATAAACACAATAGCAATGACAAAATAGTAACAAAAATTACCCAAGCTTGATAAAGTGTTATATGCAGATAGTCACTCGCACTTATTTTCTTTTATATTCTTTTAAACTTTCCCTGATACACAACCACACGAGGCACTTAACATAGTTTTATTAAAGTAGCTACATTATCAGGTAAGACTCAATAACAGAATCTAGTGAAAAAGTGTCATATCATTTCTTCCTTACTGGAAGATAGAAAAATACAAACTCCTGTGGCTTACGGTATGGGCTGGAACTTGGCCAAAGTGTGCTGCTATGACTCTTCAGTGATTCTACATCTTTTTTTTTTTTTTTTTTTTTTTTTTTTTTTTTTTTACAGTATCTAGCAATAAGACAGGTTCTTTCTTGGGCACTGGTGATGACATGTATATCACTAATACTTATTCTGCCGAAGGATGGCATTGAACAAAACTCTTGAGAGTCTTACATGGCAGTAAGTGGAATAGAAGGGTTGGGGAATCAGGAACAGCTTTTAAATCTGACTTTTATTCTGCTAAAAGTCAAATGATATGAAATGGCCCTGCTTGTATACATCTCTCTGCAGCACAGTTCCAAGGAAATAAGTTCTATATCGATCCCGAATATTAGTATGTCTGTATTAAACTGAGTCCTTGCGATGTACTGCATAACAAATCAAACTTTTAAAAAATCTCTTTTCTCGGTATCATTGCTTCCCAAGAGTGTATTCAATTTAAATATGAATGTTGTGAGATAGAGTCAATTTGGGGAAGAAGAGTTCTTGCTCCTTTTCATTTGAGTTATCTGGTAATTTTTTTAATGATAGCATTAAAATGCATTTATAAAATAACTTTTTTAGCCTATCAACTATAAGGACTCTTAATGACCCCATTGGTTATTTCCCTCTATTTATCTTTTTTTCCTTTTTTTGTGTGACATTTCAGAACTGGACTCTCCCCTGCCTCTTTGACCTATCCCTGATAGTCATCTATTTTGACTAAGACCGAATTTATTGTAAGTCAGACAAAAAGCTAAAAGCTGAGGAAGTAATCGTGTATAAAACGTATTAGTATATAACCTCATCTTGGTTCTTTGAAAAGGTCCTTTGGTGGAGATGGCATCCAGGCAATCCCCAAAGGCTAAACAGAAATTAGCCAGGTGGAAATGGGAGCAGGAACACCTGCAGCATGTGCAAAAGCCCTGAGGCAGAAAGAACAGGGTGCAGTTGGGGAATTACTGGTAATTTTGTATGGGTTAATAGTAGAGCTGAAAGATGAAGAAGCATTACAAATGAGCTAGAGAAATAAACTCATGAAGGGCTTAAGGCACGAAGAAAAGGAGTCCAATCTGTGTTTAGAGGGCAGACAGAAATGATTTAAGGGATTTTAATCTGGGGAGTAACACATTTCAATTTATACCCTACAAGATGCCTCTGGCAAAAGGTAGAAAATTATTTCAATGGGATAATTTTAGAGAAAAATAATGAACATTGGTTTCCATTATGCTGTGCTATTGTTAAGTACCTTTTGGTGTGATACTGTAGTCTTTAAAAATCTGAAATCCCAATCCTTTAAATAGGATATATATATTAAATCTATGCTAAAAGACAAATCTATTCAAAATTGGCAAGTCCAGAGTCACAGCAGACAAGCATCTTGTGATAATGTGTCATCATTCCTTTCCTATGATTTGTGTGATTGAGACAATAGGCTGGTCCATGTTTTCGCTACATGGGGTATTGTGCAGTTTTATCAGGACAAAAATGTTTGCAAAACGAATCTCCTCCCTCATAGAGCATTGTATGCTAATTAAAATATCTAAATGAAAAGAAATTCACTCATTTAGAAAGCATTCTGGAGTATCTATGTAATTCTCAAGAAATTACAAATGAGACATGGCATTTTTTAAGTTGAAGGAGCCAGAAAAAATACTTGGAGTTAACTTTTAACTATTGCCTTACTATTTTATCAAGTAATATAAAGTTAAGAAGAATTTTTCCATCAGCCAGAAAAATTTGCACAAAAAGTTTCTTGTATCCCAGCCATGACACCACTGACATGTTATTTTTAAGACTAATACTTAATATTATTAAGAACAATATTATTTAATTTTAATATTAATTTATTTTAATAATATAATGTTAAATGTTAAATAATATTTAATTTCAAGTTATTAATATTTCTTAGTTTTATTTTTCTTTTTGAGATATTTCAATAAATTTAAATGCAAACAACATACATTAGAATCACATTTCTACTATTTATAATTTTAAGAATTCAACTTTAGTTATGTTGCTAAATTTTATATTTGAGTTGTGTTAAATTGTGTCAATTTTATTTTATGAGTTCTGAATTTTGCTTTTGCAAAAATAGATACTGAAATACCAGTATTGCCATTCTGTTCTAGTATTGCTTTCACTGGCAAAAAGGTTAAAAGGCTATTGTATTCATCCACTGATGATGGTGGGGTGAATGCAGATAGTGGTGATTGGGGAGAGAGAAAAGTAAAAAAATGAGACAGAATCAACAAGACTTGGCAGTTTGGGGAATATGGTATACATGAAAGAAGAGGAAAAAAGATACCCTCTCTTCCTTTATGAATTTTGAGTCAATGAATTTATGAACATTACATTCACATAGAGAGAAAACACAAGAGAAAGAAAGAAAGCTGCAAAGAGGAACAGAACAGGCAGGACAGCTAGAAAAATAGCATCACGTCAGAAAATGCTACAATTTCAGTGATTAAATGTTCAGTAAATCCATACCCCCTTCCCACCGCCATCTCTGTCTTGTTTGGGGAAGCTTTATACGTACTAAATGCACTGTGATGGATGTGGCTTCTCTTCTGGGATAGCAGAGTCAAGTTGATGACATGTTAAAGATGGCAGACAATGAATGACAAACATCTGGAGGCTTAGCACAGGACTCCCTGAGTTCCATAACCCTGAGCTACTTTGAATCTGGTTAGAGCCGGTGTCCCTAGGTTTATTGCAAGTAAGTGAGGTTAAGCATAGTTTCTAACCTTACAGTTAGGAATGCAATGTATGTACGTGGAGGACTGGCATACTCTTGCATTCCTATGATGGAAATGTGAATATATTTTCCCAGAAAGGTGACTCTCTGCAGTGATTATTTCCATAGTATTGTTAGAACATTCCTTTGAGTACTTCATAGGCTTAATAACCTATTAACATCTGGTCAAGGAGCCTTACTAGTTTTATTTGGAATTTGGCATACATACTAGACTTTAAAAAATCTAGTTAGACAATAATTAATGGCACAACTGATTGGAAACCACTTATACTTCACACAGTTTTGTTAAGATGGGTCAGTTCTAAGAGCGTTGGTAGATCGTCAAGTTAAAGAGACTCTACTCAGAATTGTCTTTTCTCTTTTAGCTTGAGAGCACTTTAATTTTTGAGGCCCTTTGTTTCCGATCCTTTCCCCCTAATTGCTTCATCTTTAGAAACTCATGTTATACTTAATGTGAAAAGTCTAGTTTAGGTAGCTTTCTCCCATTCTATGTACCAGGTTTGAATATTCTAAGGTGAGGGCTTTAAGTATTAATCCTCTAATTGTTACAAAGGCTTGAAACATTAAGAAGCTTACTAAAGAGTTGAATTATGCTGTTAACTTTTTTTTCTGCGATTCGAGCTGAGTAGAACCATGAACAAGCCTTCATTTGTCACTGGTCAGCTGGCCGTCATCATCCTGAAGTGCCACTTCGATACCTTGGCCCTGGCTTATTTTTCCCATGTGGAGGGCTCTTGGAATTTTCAAATGAAAATGGTTTCTGAAGTATGAGGACACCTTGAGGTGATGAGCAAGCAATGTAGGTCTTTTCTTTTGAATTTTATTTCAGAAATCTCTACCACAGGACCTCTTGGTATGGGAAGTACCACCACCAGTACCACCCTGCGGACCACAACTTGGAGCCCAGGCAGGAGTACTACCCCATCAGTGTCAGGAAGAAGAAACCGGAGTACCAGCACCCCATCTCCAGCTGTGGAGGTGCTTGACGACATTACCACACACCTGCCATCAGCAGCGTCCCAAATCCCAGCCCTGGAAGAGAGCTGTGAAGCTGTGGAAGCCCGAGAAATCATGTGGTTTAAGACCCGTCAAGGACAGATGGCAAAGCAGCCGTGCCCTGCAGGAACTATAGGTAAGTGTGTCCTAGAGCCAAGCTAAAGAAAGGTATTCTGTTACTTTAGCTTGCTTTTCTCCCAATTGTTTCTTTAGTGTTTTTGTTTGTTTGTCACTACATATTTTTGTTAGTTCACTTGAATTCTGAACTCAGCTGAATGACGATTTCAAGCAGTGTATTTTCAGAGTTTGAAAATACATTCTGAAGAAGTCACTGGTGAGGATTTGATGGGGATACACGTGAGGTCAGTATTTTCGCCCACGGGGGGAGGTCCCTGGGTGGAGTTGCAGTTAGGCTGTGCATGTCCTGGCTACTCCTGAAGGCCAGCCCTTCTGTGCAGCAGCCCGGAGCGAATCAATGGATTGGAAGGGAGTTAGTTCTCGTCCTTGGCACCGACCATCAACTGTTGATTGCAGAAAATGGGGTCAAGGACTTTTACATTAGAAGATGATCATTGAAACTACCTAAAATTTAACGGAAGAGGAAGTTTGACTCTCCTTTTCATAAGTCATCATAGCCATCCCTTAACAGTCAAGGGCTCTTCACATAGACAGGAGTCAGACTCCCACTACTCAATATCCACTAGAGAGAGCAAGCTTCATTGTTTCCTCTGAGAGACAGTTAAGAGCTAAATAGTTCTACTCTACTTCCCCCCCTTTTTTTTACTGTTGCGATTCATAACATCCCCCAATGGTAACCATATTATTCTTTACAATCGTTAAGCCAGAAAATGCCTGGTTTTCTTATTGTCACATACATTGATCTTCATAAAGCTAATACTTGATACACTAAATAAAATGTGCCCTATTCCATAAAATATGTAAAGAAAGCAAATATACAATAGATGTCACTGTACTAACAATAGTGACTACGCCTTTGGGTATTATTGATCTGGTTGCTTCAAACAGGTTTCTCTTAGAACTGTTCCAGTGGGGATATAGCATTCTGAATTCTATAGTATATGAAGTGGTAGAAAGACCAAAAAGAATATTGACTTTTAAACAAGTGCACATTTAATTTTTTTTTCAGCAAAGTGTTTAAAAATATTCTGAAATCTTTTTTCCCTTTAGGAAAGGGTGCAATTCAGTTGTGTTACTGAAATCAGTGTGATTCCAACAGTTTGAAACCTTGCCTCTTAGCACTGTCCCCTTCGTTCTGGGCCTCATTTCCTTCATTTCTAAAAGAGAAATAATAACAGCCCCCCCACCACCACCCCGTCAAATGTTTGTTGTGAAGGTTAGTGAAGTAATTTATTTGAAAGCAGTTTGAAAGCACGACAGAAATATGTCACCATTGTTCTGTGAAAATTGGGAGAGAGATTTAAAGGGAGCCTTCTAGAGCCCTCCCAGGTGAATGTCCCTATGCTGAAATCTTATTTTTAACCTTTTCTTTGTCTCCTTTGCTGTTTAGACCCACACATGCTGTCACTTGAATTTTTGCGATAGTGTCCCCCAAACCTTCACATCTCCCCCTCAAATTCATCCTTTCTGCTGCTGCCACAGTTATCTTACTAAAACCTTAATCAGCTCATTTCTCTCCTCTGCTTAATGTTCATTGATTTTCCAGCACCCACAGGTGGCAGACCAGGCAGTTTATGATCTCACTATGCCTGCCTTTCCAAGCCCATTACATATAACTCTCCTGTACAGTAGACCTCAATTTAAAACATTTGAGGTTTCCCAAGGACAACATATCTTCTCTGCACCTGGAGTGCCCTTTCCTACCTTGTCTTCCTGAAAAACCTGCAAACTGATTCCTTTAAGACTCAACTGCTACCTTGCCTTGTGTGAAAACCTACACGATAAGCCCCATGGTGGCAGGCACCACATCTATCTCACTTATGAAATTGTCCTCTGTAACTGGTGTAGTTGCCAGCAAGTGCTTTAAAAATATTGAACGTTTTTGTTTGGTTGGTTGCATTTCTCCAGTGTCCGTTGTCTGCCAGGCTCTGGATGTGGTGTTTCAATAAACATTAGCTTAGCTTAATGATCTCCATTTTGCCTGTGTTCATATTTAAGCATAACATTGATATAAAGTCATTGTAAGAAACATGGTTTGAGTATTTAAAGCAGACCTTTTTCTCTCATTGTTCTAGGAGTGTCAACATATCTATGCCTGGCTCCTGATGGAATCTGGGATCCCCAAGGACCAGATCTTAGCAACTGTTCTTCTCCTTGGGTCAACCAAATAACACAAAAGGTAAATCACGTGACTGACAAGGAAGGTTTTCCCAAACTTAGATCCTCTGCTGTTGACTCTAGCTGGTGCAGACAAACTGGTTAAGATCTTTTTTTAATTAATGTGGAAATATTCTTCCATTATATTTTTATTTAAGATTTAATGACACCCTTTGATATGCGATGAGCTAATCTAGAATTTTGTTGTTCTTAAAGGGCAAATCCATGAACTTCCTCTAAAGCAGGCAGTATTGCTTATGATAATTTTATTAATAATAAAATTTTTATGGTATTTTGAACTATAGGTATAAAAGTCCAAGAGGTATTATAAATCAAGCAAGCAAAACATCTAGCATACATGCATATGGATTTTCCTGTGAAAATAACAATTAACAAAAAAAGTCTACCTTTGGAATCTTAAGCTATTTGATAAATGTTCTGTAACCTAATCATTTATCAGTGTTAAAAGTATATGTACGTGTGACAAAATCTTGCAGACTCAAATTTTCAGGGCTTATTTGGTTGCAATATGTTGAACATTTTTATTATTAATGCACTGTGGGGCTTTGAATTGATTTCATTACAAACAGAGACCAGATGTGCATTTATGCCAAAAGGGCTACGGGATGAATCCTTATTATAGCAATTTGTGTGGATTTATGCACTCCTAAAATGAAGAGTCCTTCTATGGCACATTAGCTATGCTGAGGAATTTCTGAAAGAGATTTTTTCCTGAGAAATATTACGAATGATGGCTTTTCTAAAAGCCTGTCTGTGCCATTTGCCCTTTTCTCTATTTGTTTTTAACCAGGCTGATCCTCAGTAATATACTGAATAATAATCCATAAATATCTACCCAGTAGATTATTTAGCAGATGAGCCATAACTATCTATTTACCCTAAATCATGGAGAACAGTGGTTATATTGACTCTAGTTACCCTCTTACATATGCATCTCCACACTTGTTGCTATTCATAATGATGCTTCTCCAATTTCAGCACTGTTCCTGCCACAGTTTTTATGTCCTTTGATTTTATTACAGTGTAGCTCAGACCCCAGGGCAAATAACTCTTGCTGGATGTGATCAGATTAAGAGATCAGTAGCATATCTCCTTACATTAGCAACTTTTAAAAAATACTCCCTACATACTTAGCCCAGGGGTTGATATTAATTCAGTAATAATTCACCTAGAAAGCTAAGTGTTTTCATGATAATTCCTGAATATGGTTAGACTATTTCATTGCAGGAATTACTGGGTGACTTTAACTGATAATGATGCTTAATTCTTTTCTTTCCTCTGCAGACCTCCTAATCTTATGACAAAAGAGATAATTCTTTGCAAAGACCAGACAGCTGTTGCCCATTTGATTTATGGATGGGTGTTTTTTTTTTTTTTTTTTTTTTTTTTTTTTTTTTTTTTAATATAACAAATATGTTCCATTATTCTGGAGCAATTCTGTTTAATCCTGTAGAGTCTGTAAAATTGTGTAAGATTATAATTATAGTAAGATTATAGAATTTAGGCAATGAGAATTTATAATAATACCTTCGCTGCAGTTTTCATAAGTTTATAAAATCTTCAAAAGTATAACAGGAGGCTTTAGAGTAGTCTGAATCAGATTATATAAGTAGCCCAATGTCAGTGTTGGAGCTGGGGTTTTAGCTGGGTCTACTTTTATCAAGATATCACGCATAGCCACAACACTGGTTAAACTAAACTGCACAGAATTCCTGCCTTTACATCACACTTACTTCCCTAGTCTCTCTTCACTTTTGTCCACCCTTTTACCTGGTGTGCCCCTCATACCTCCAAATATTTATGCTATCCGTTGAATATAAAGGGTAGTTGAACAGGTTTCTTTACCATAAAACTCCAACACTTTTAAATATTAACATTGTAAACCTTCAAGAGAGAATCTGTGTGCAGTGTTCACTGAGCGATTTGTCCGTATTATCTCCCTAACTCTCCAAAGCATCTTTCACAGAATTCATACTTCTGCTCATTTCCTCCCTCAGTACCTGAGTCCGAACAACAGATAGAACATTGGAAAAGGATTTGTTTCTAGCAGTATTGGGGGAGCAAAGGTGAACTGTGAGGGATTGAGCAAGAACCCAGTGCTAGTAACAGAGGTGGAGCTATTCCCAACCCCAGGCCCACTGTTGCTGGATAAAAGGAGTGACAAAAAATTGGAAGCGGATGTCTTTGAGAAGAAAGATGGCCTACAGACAAGAGACTCAGCCTAGCCCCAGGCAACTTTTCAGAAGAAGACCAAAGGGAAATAAATACACTGACCTCACTCTCCCTCCTCCTTCCATTCCCTTGCCCACCCTCCCCATTGGACAAGCCCAGTGGAAGCCAGAGAAGAGAGGCACTCTGAATAACATCCTTCTGAGTTCACCCTCTAGGGCAGAGAGGAAGATGGAGGAGGATGGAAAGTGGCCTTGACCCAGGAAGTGGCCTTTTCCCCTTTTTCTAGTGGATTTTTTTATGTCATGTTGAAAAATGAAAGTGAAAGAGTTATCTTTCATGGTTCATTCCTTCTCTCTTCCCCCTTTTGTAGTCTTGTGAACTTCAAACTTTTAAAATAAAGGAACATTTTTGACCCCCAATGACAGCACAGATGAGAAAAGAAAGGAGGGAGTGATTCAGTATAAACAGTGTATTCAATGTCCCCATCTTCGTGAGCTCCTGAGTGAATGCATCGTAGCCTGTGAGGCACCTCCCTTATGACTGTACAGTGCTTCTCAGGGAATTCCTGAGGGCTTTCAAGGAAAGAACACTTCTGGATCACAGTCTCATCATCTATACCACAGGGAGGACTATTCTTTTCATTATCACTAACACTATCCACCCACTGTGTGTCCGGCACCCCTGTAGACAGCAAGTATACACAAGTACATGCATCAGGATGCTTACTTTAGTTTGAAAATGCAAACTATATTTTCATGTTTGCTAAGAAATGAGTTATGCACACACACCTCTGCCCCCCCACCCCTGCAGTCAGGCCAGAAGGGAGAAAACAGGCAAATAATTTTGATGGCTTCTGATCCATGAATGAATTCAGGCCACTTCCATACTGGTGAAATTATAGATTAAATTTTGTGTGGTGATAAAGTGTAGCTTATATTTTATTAGCGAAAATGTAAGCCTTTGAAGTCAGAATTTCATGAAGAAATTTGTTACAAATGAGCAAGAATACTTTCATAATGATGAGGTTTACTAAAGCATAATATGTACAGAAAGAGCAAGGCAAAAATTTGTGCACAACGTGGCCTTTACTCCAGCAGCAATAGAGAGGGAGGTGGGAGAGAGAGGGAGAGAGAAAAATTGGTAGGTAGGTGGATAGATAGATGAGTCAATGGTCAGATGGGTGGGCGGGTGGATGGATGGATGGATGGATAGAAGGAAAGGCAGGTTCAAAGATAAATAGATGAGTGGATAGAAAAATAGATTAGTCTTCAAATTATTTTTTTTTTTAATATTTTCAAGCTTTTCTTGACAGCAAGCAGATTGGTTCAGAGCTCGGCCTCTTCACACATATGTAGCAAAATATCGTATTTTCTCGCCATAATGACTGCTTACTAAAATACAGTTTCTCACTTCAGCTTGATCTCTAGGTTAGACTCAGATTCTCCAAAAGGAGTTTATATTTTCTGTGTTGCATACCTTTAAAGAGCTGATTGCACTTTACACTCCCTCCAGTCAATTTAAAATTCTTTGAAATTACAGTTTTGAATAGCTTTCATATTTCTTTGCATGTGAAGTGAAGTAAGCTTCCTCCTTCATTGCCCAGTTCAACTATTATATGGAAAAGAAATGACTGAATTGTCACTGGAAAATAGTCTTTCTGTTTCTAACAAACTGAAGAGTCTTGTCTTTTGTTTGTTCACAAGCTACTGACAGATTTTGAGATAAGTAGAGTTCTCCCTGCGTTTTCTAATGAAGGATGTGAATACCTAGAATTTTTGCTATTTAACTGTATAAGATAAGCCAGTTGCCTGCCTTGGAAGAAAAAGTCGAATCCTGTCACCCAGATTTTAATTTCTCCATTCTTTTAATCTCCATAGAGATTCTGTAAATTGCTTCTTAATTTTATCAGAGATTGGTAGGGTTTCTAGGACTTCAGGCTTATTTAACCTACTTTCAATTGTAAGATAGAAGCATTTAATTGTCTCTATACCTACTTGACTCTGATTTACAGCAAAATAGCATAAGTAGATCTTTCAAAGAAATGATAGCTATATACTTAAACACTATGAGAAACTCCTTCATGAATTGGTTTGGCACCCGATTAATGTTTGATGTAATAAATCTCATAAAATGTCAAAGCTTATTTCAAAGAAAATTGTTTTTACATGTGTCAAAATTTGACATGTAAATAGTATCCATCTCTGTCATAATTATCCTCAACTAAAGCTGCAGGGTTTGCCTTCCCCTATTCAAGTCCTGAATATAATCCCACCATTTCAATACAGGTATTAATTTACTAATCCTCACAGAACTCGTAAGATTTCTCAGTGTATGTGCTTATTGCTGAGAAATAACTTCAGTAGAATTTAGTGAAAGAAATGTTAGAGACAGACATTTTTCATTAGGTCTGTAAGCTAGGATATACAGAATAACATTATTTCAACCCTGCCTCTGTGCAGAAGCTTGAGGCAGATTCAAGATATGCATGTATTTGTTGTATAGAAATGAGATACTTGTGGTCCGTGACTGCTGGGGTGAGAGAAGTAAATAGGGCCATCAGGCCAGGGGAGTAACCTCTGGCTGCCACTGGAAAGGATATGGTCAATGAAAGCCTTATCTGGAAAGGCAACTTTTGAACTGAGCGGTGAATGTTGAGGTCATAATGGCTGTTGGAGAATCCAGTTAATGGCATTACCATGGAGTGCCTCTCTTCCCTTCTCCTCCCCTCAGAGAGTAGGCCTGTCAGTGTACTTGTAAGTCTCTCCCAAATCAGGCCACTTTCCACTGTTCTCCACTGCTGCTACCCTAACCCACAACAGCTTCTGCTGCTGTAGCCTCTTAGCAAGTACCCTGTCATTCACTCATTCACTCCTGAACCCTCTAATCCATTCTCCTGCATTTGATTTCAAACACAACTCTGATTAGATCACTCCTGTTTAGAATTATTAGTACCTTCCCTTGATCTTAGCATGATCCACAAAATCTTCATCATGACTTATGAAGGGGACAACTTAATCTGCCCCTTGCTCACTTCTCTGGCCACCTAAATTCCAGTTATAGCACCCCTTGTGCAGTTCCCCTAGGACCCCATAGGGGTCCCTCCCTCCTGAAAGTGTCGTCTCTGCCTAGAGGCCCTCACCTATATCCTAACCCAATCCTTTCTTTTCCTCACACGAAACATTCCTCCACGTCACACGAAACATTCTTCCTTAGTAAAGCATTTCCTAAATTATTCCCTAACTTCATACAGTCGATTAAAAGGCCCTTAAACTTGGATTCTGTATTGCACTCCACAAAATTAAAATTAAACAATTTTGTAGCTAATTTATTAAGAGTTCTTTCCACTGCTAGTACGTAAGCTCCTTTTTATTGGGAACCATTTTATTTAGTATTGTAGCCTCAGACTTTAGCATAATGCCATTAGAAATTCAAATTTTAGTTAAAAAAGCAAATGAACATGTAGAGTGAATAACTGTTGAAATTATAGAGATATTCATCCTATTTTTAAAGCAAGATACAGTACATATTTACCTCATAGACAATACAATTTATACTGTGTAGGTATCAATATTGAGTTCTGAAGGTGGAAAAGTGTGCTTTTCCTTTCTGTTGTACCTACAGTATCCTGTCTTCCCAAACCATGGTTGTTATAGTTGTTTACTTTGGTTGCCTTCCCACCCCATTTCCAGATGTTTTCTACCCCTCTACTAATATTCCCATAATACCTCATATACAATCCTGTTATTAAAATTGTCTCGTTGGGGCACCTGGGTGGCTCAGTCTGTTTAGCATCCAACTTCGGCTCAGGTCATGTTCTCACGGTTTGTGGATTTGAGCCTTGCATTGGGCTCTGTGCTGACAGCTCAGAGCCTGGAGCCTGCTTCGGATTCTGTGTCTCCGTATTTCTCTCTGCCCCTCCCTTGCTCGTGCTCTCTCTCTCTCACAAATAAATAAATAAACATAAGAAATAAAATAAAATTGCATCATTGCATTAATGTTATTTACTTGTATGCCTCTAAACCCAGATGCCTCTCAAACTTTGTTCAACACAGACCATTTAAGTAAATCAAAAGACTCTAGAGGTCCATCTGCCCTGACCATTCTCATAGAAAAACTAATACATGTCAATAAAGAAATAGAAGAAAACAATATAACAACCAACAAAGGTACAGAACAATTGTACAGGGGTGCTTGAGTGGCTCAGTGTCCGACTCTCGGTTTCTGCCCAGGTCATAATCTCAATTTTGTGACTTCAAGCCCCGCACTGGGCTCTGTGCTGACAGTGCAGAGCCTGCTTGGGATTCTCTCTCTCTTCCTCTCTCTCTGTCCCTCCCCCATTCACACTGTCTCTCTCTCTCTCTCTCTCTCTCTCTCTCAAAATAAATTTAAAAAAAATTTTAAAAAGAACTGTACAACAGTGATTAACAAAGTAAAACCATAGAATTCTACAAATATATTCATTATTAGAGGAATAGCATAGATAGAAACTACAACAAATGCCAGCCCACTCTGTATCATGTGTTGATTAAAAGAACATCCTCTTGGCTGGGGCGCCTGGGTGGCGCAGTCGGTTAAGCGTCCGACTTCAGCCGGGTCACGATCTCGCGGTCCGTGGGTTCGAGCCCCGCATCGGGCTCTGGGCTGATGGCTCAGAGCCTGGAGCCTGTTTCCGATTCTGTGTCTCCCTCTCTCTCTGCCCCTCCCCCGTTCATGCTGTGTCTCTCTCTGTCCCAAAAATAAATAAATGTTGAAAAAAAAAAATTTAAAAAAAAAAGAACATCCTCTTGGAAAATTATGGGAATTCCAACCACTGGATGTTCATATGCACACTAAGAGTTTTTCAAAGTTACCAAGCACTTGTATCATGTGCACCATTCAATAAGTCTGAATGGAATACTGAATTTGAAATCTTTGCGAATACCTAGCTTCTCACTGATTTAAATTAACGAATACTAAATTTTGTAAATCACCTATTGATTATTAGATTACCAGTAAACAGCCTTACATTGTATATAAAATTAAAATGTATGAATTACAACCACATTTATTACACTCTGAGACCACTTGAAAATACTTTCATGACAGTCAGTGGGCCATGAATGCTACTTTGATCCACATTGAATTTGTTATGTACTTATCCTTGAACCCTGTAATATGCTCCATTTGGTTACAGGTATCTAGCTATGTAGGTCTTGACCATATTTTACAAATTTATTAAAGTTAGTGCGGGTGTTTACAATTGTAAGGATTTCTAAAAAACACTGGTTATATATAATAACTACTTTAACCATTCTTCTTGTAAAATTTAAACATTACAGAAAAGGATTTTTCCTTTGATTCCCATCTTTCAGACTTCGTGCTTAAATATATGTAAAATAAACACATAAAAATATCATGTTTTATGTATTGTATTTCTTCTTCATAGATAGCATGTTTATATGCTACTTACATTTTGTATTTTTATTTCAAGTAGCATGCTAATAGATATTAGCGTAAATAAATACTTTTTTATACTTGCATTTATTTTAACTCAGCATTGCATGTTGAAATTTGATGTTAATGATATTGATCTCCTTTATACTTTTAAACCATTGTACAATATTCCATGATATTTATATACATGAGCAGTTTTCTGCAGGTCATAATCCATTTTGTTTTGTATTTTAAACAAGCTAGAATAAACATCTTTGAATATTTCTCTTTTACATCTGTGGGATTATTTGTTATGGTTGATAGTGATAAGAGAAATCCCTCAGTTATATAGTCTTCGCATTACAAAATTTAATGGACATTGGTAATTAATTCTACGTGGGGCCTATACAAATATATATGCCCAGGAGCTGTTTCTGAGGGTGAGAGACATTTCCACAAATCCTTCCCAACATTGTGTTACTATACTTGCTTCGTTTTCAATTTGGATCTTTAAATATACTTGAGGATATGATTATTAATGATATAGATGTTCCGATAACCCTAACTTATTTATTTGTTTCTTAATAGTCAATCCTGCTATAAATATTTATTGAGCATCCCTGAGGAGATAGTGTTAACTTACATGACTAAGAGTCTTAGTCTTGCTCCTTATAGCCTGAATACCTGCTAGAAGATGACCTTACAGAAAGGACTTTTCTCTGTGTGACCCTAAGTTTTATATAGGACTGTGCTAAAAAAAAAAAAAAAAAAGTTTCCGGGGCGCCTGGGTGGCTCCATCGGTTGGGCGACCGATTTTGGCTCAGGTCATGACCTCGCAGTTTGTGAGTTCTAGCCCCGGGTCGGGCTCGGTGCTGACAGCTGGGAGCCTGGAGCCTGCTTCGGATTCTGTGTCCCTCTCTCTCTCTGCCTCTCCCCCACTCATGCTCTGTGTCTCTCTGCTTCTCAATAATAAATAAACGTAAAAAAAATTTATAAAAAAAAGTTTCCTAAACATGACACTATTATATATTTAACTTGTAATACTGTAAGATATCCCTATCTTCTTATTACCCAAAGCTATCAAATTTGTTCATGTGAACATGGGTTATTAGTATCTGTCTTTTTAAATAACATCTTTGGGGTATTGACAGTTTGATATATCTTTATAGAATATAGTTGAAAAATAAGCATGTAGCTTCAGAAAAGGAAGATGCTAGGAACAGCAGTAATTTGCTACCTAGTGCAGTGGGAACAAAATCTCATATTTAGTTAAGAAGAAAATGACGACCCTTTGAAAAACAGGGATTGTATTTGGGACAAATTTTTAGAGTTTAGCATCAGTCCGTGTACATTGTGTATTAAGCGCTAAATTAGGCACAATGGAAACTTTGTGCTTGTCTCTTAGAACTTAGAATATGGTTGGGGATTCACAACTGCATCATCACAACTCATCAGCATCCAATTTTGAAACTCACAGAGAAAATCATAGGGCAAACCTTAGATGTGACCACTCAAATGGATAATTAGGGTGAGAACAATTTTTAGAAGACTCCTCAAAGGGGACTTTCCTAAAGATACGAATTTCAAGTTAGGTATTGTGGGAAAAGATGGATTAGTAGGAAAACCTGAGACTATCTTTCAGGTGAAGCCGGAGTTAAATAACTATGTCTTGCCTTGATGATTATAATTCCCATGCAAAAACAATTGTTCACAGAGACCAATAAAATCCCTTACTTAAGATCTCTTTCCTTTTTATTCTGTTTTCAAAAAACCGCAGTTGAAATCTGGAGAGACAGCTGCCAACATAGCTAGAGAGCTGGCTGAACAAACAAGAAATCATTTGAATGCTGGAGACATCACCTACTCAGTCCGTGCCATGGACCAGCTGGTAGGGCTCCTAGATGTACAACTCCGGAACTTGACCCCAGGTGGAAAAGATAGTGCTGCACGGAGTTTGAACAAGGTAAGGACTTCAGCTATATATTTTTAAAGCTGTAGTAGGATCAGTGAGCCTTCCTTGCTTAATTACTCTCTATAAAATCCGTTCGTTCTAAAGAGCATCACTAGTTACATTCAGTCTGCTTCACTATTTTATTATTAATGATGGCCCACCCTATTTGGCCTCTAAAGACACAATAAATGATAATCTCTCTCTTTACAAAAAATGTAAATTTTTTGAATTTACAATTCTATTTTCTTTAGTGTTTACTGTTTTGAATGCTAAATTCTGGCAAGGTCAATACGAGTAAATGTGATTTATTTTGCTTCTTTTCTTCCTTTTAAACTTTTATTTTAAAATAATTACAATAAAACAAATGTCTAATTGCTATAAAAAGTCTAATAAGTATAAATTTAGAAAATAGCAACAATGAGAAAGGATATTAGCAATTCATTAAAGATGTTTTAAAAATGAAATGACTTAATCTAATTAATATTATACTTAAAAACTCATGAGGCAAGTAATTAGGTTTTAATTTGTATTTCCTTTTGATATTTAAATTACCCAGATTTTACTTCACTATGTTTTTTTTTTTTTTTTACTTCACTATGTTAACACTTAGAAGGTTTAATTGTATTTCAGCAAATCTGAATAATGAAAATAATACATTTTTAAATTTCAGAGAAGATACATTTTATATATTCTTATTGATACTTATAAATATACAATATATTTATATACATTATATAAACATATACAAGCATTTTATGTTTATTGCATATAACCTATACACCATATAAGCACTTAACTTACATAACTATGTAAAATATATTTTACATATTTATAAGGAATATAATTTATTACTTATAAAATCACATGGTGAAATAACTCCATGATCAAAAACAAACTAGAATTGCTACCATCAAATGACATATGTTCCCTAAAAGATATTTGTGCAGGAGAAGTGATCAATTATGGAAACTGGATTTTAAGGCCTTGAATGTCTGATAGTCCTACTACTGTATAAAGCAAGAATTTGGCAGTAACAGACTAAAGTCCTCAATGGAATTCACTAAATGAACATTCCTCTTTAGAATGACAAATGACTTCTGAGTGGTTTTTTAATATGTTAAGTTCTTTTGTGTCTTATTAGACTAAAGTCTCACTGATAAAGATGGAAGAAATTTTTCCAATAATGATGGTTGGATATAGGAAAGCCTACTATTTTATCTGGCAAATACAGTTTTTCCTGCAGTTTCATCCTCAGAAAACAGATTCTGTTTTATCTAGTAGATATAAATTATTATTAGAGGTTTGTTTTTTTTTTTGTTCATGCTGAACATAAAGGAGTTATTTTTGTCACTTATACCCCTGACAGAATCACAACCAAGTCCCTGATAAAATGTAATCCACAGCGGCCTATGTAATCTGGGCATGCTGTGATTTTAATGTGTTATTACCCAGGCTGACTGGATGCTATTAATGAATATTGCCGCCAGCTATTGTTATCCTAATGTACTGGAGGTAGTAATTTCTATTAATGTTACATATCCATAACATTACTTGTTATAGCAATACTTTGTATCTTTATTTAAAAATGATGTTGATGTCTGACAATATCAGGTAAAGCTGGCAATTAATGTCACATTCTAACTGGCTACAGCTAATCAGCTTGCCTACTCTGAATATCAAATAACTACATAATGGGCAAATTTCCATTTGTGAAGCTTTTTAATGCTTTCTTTTGTTTCCCATTTGGCTCTTTTCAGTTGTTTATATAATGTGGTTTGTCATATGTTAATTTGCATGATGGGGTAAGGAGATGGGAGGGCAAAGGTTATTCACATGCTTGCTGGCTTGCTCTCATATCCTGTGGTTCCCACTGTTCCCCGAAGCAGTTATAACCCATCAGATTTGCAAAGTCAACTTGGTACAAATCAATTGAACTCCACATTGAAATTCTGAAGGGTTTAGAGTCCTGCAACACCAAGATGCGAGTCAGTGATCCAAATGACAGCGCTGGCAATTTACTTGCACTCATTCCTCACTTAATTCTGTAGAGGAGTAACTGCAGTGTGCTCTTTGAAGAATGCATGAATTAAAGTTGGGAGAGTATTAGCCACACAAAAGGCATCAGAGTAACTGCTTCTTAAACCTGGGTAATTTTCTCCTTCAACAATCAAGGCTACTGAAGGGAAAAAAAAAAATAGGGAAGTGGAAGAAAATCACAATCGAATTTATAAAATTTTGTGTCATTTATTTAAACAGGGCAATTAAACTTATTAATTATTCATTCCATCATCAGAAAAAAAAAATGTTTGGGATTGAATATGAGTTGTTGTTAACCTTTTGCCCAGAAAAACATCACTCAGTATGCAAACAAATAAAAACAGGCTTCTTATCCCACAGAAGTTTCTAAAATGTATAAATTTTTTTGGTCAATACTGTGAAAAGAAATTATTCAAGAAATAAAAGCAGTGATAAGTCAGAAGATGAATCACATTCTTCTAATCAGAAGTTACTTATCTGTTGGTATCTTTCCCTTGGAATCAAATAACCATAATGAATGGACATTTCTATTTTTCTGATAAACAGAATTTTTTGTGTTTGAACATACGGTTTGTGGTGCATATTAACCATCTCTGTAATCTCTAAACCACAAACAATGTGGGTTCCAAAGTTTTGATATAACTTCCTTAACTTCATGTCTTCATTTGTGGCCCATGAATTAACCGCTAACCTGATGTGAAATGAATCATTTCAAATAACTGAAGTGTAATGATTATTACTAATTTCTACTACATTTATTCCCAGATTTCCTCCCATCATTAACAACTTTATACCATACAGTTTCCACCTGGCTTATTCTGAAAGGGCGTTGGCGACTGTCTTTCAAGCCATGGCTTACATTTTGCTGCTGCTTAGCTTTCATTCTCCTCTAGAAAGTAGTGCACAACAGAATAAGGTGTTTTGTGTAGATGCGTTCTTTTATTTTTCTTGTTTTCTTCTATCACTAACTTGTTTTTTCTATTCTGTGTTTAATCTGCTGTCTTAATGGATTCAGCTTCAGAAAAGAGAGCGCTCTTGCAGAGCCTATGTCCAGGTACTTTCTGCGTTTTTATAAATGTGTTAAGTTGTTGAATTGTCTCTGTTGGTGATAGCATTGATGGGCATCTGATAGCAAAACGGTAACGTACCCTGTTGAGCTAAAGGGATTTAAAGGGAGGGCATGAAGGGTGGGGACAGAAAGACATATGAAAGGGTATGTGCTGAAAAGAAATCTGGCAGTGCCCATGCTCTGTCATCCAAGATGAACACAGACCAACAAGGAGGTGTAACTTGGAATGTGAGAATTTTGATCATAACTGAAAGGTGAGTTGGGTACAATACGTAAATCTCTAATTTCTTCATAGAGGTGTGTGTGTGTGTGTGTGTGTGAAAGCATTTCATTAATACACTGGGCCAGCTAATATTTGAGTAGCAAATCATTCAGAAATGACATTTAATCAGCCATATAAGACAACAAATAGTCCAGAATACTTGGAACATCGTGCTTCTGTACCAAAATATTCCACCCACATGGTGACTGTCTTACCTTCCCACCCATTATGAACATTTTAGTCCTGATATAAATATAATTTTTCTCCAGCTAACATGTTGCAATTTGTTTCTAAGCAGGGTAGAAACCATTACTTTGTTTATGGGGTCTGTGTGAAAAGAATGGCAGAAACAACTTTATAGTTATTTTTACAAGACAGGAAGGCAGTGTAGAGGTTTGAAAAATTTTTTTTTCCTTTTTCCCCTCTAGGTTCTTTGGCTGGTCTAATAATTAAATTGACATAAGACAGATTAACAGGAGAAAAAAAAAACAACTTTAATTCCAGATGTACAGGAACCCCCAAAGACATGAACTGGAAGGCAGTCAGGCAATTGAATGTTATTCTAAACTAAGGAATGGGATAAGGACCTGAGGCTTTAAAAAAGAGGGACAATAATTTACATCAAGAAAATTAGAAAGATAAGCTTTTAATGTGCATTTTACTGTATAAATTTATGAATCTTTGAATGTAAGGAACATTCAGCTGTTTTTTTGTTTTTTCCATATATATATATATATAAACATATATCTTATATATATATATATAAACATATATCTTATATATATATTCTATATATAAGATATATATATCTTATATTCTATATATGATATATATATATATCTTATATATATATATATATTCCCTTAAGATATATCTCCTGTCCTCTTAATATGTATAATAGGTAGAGAAATTGAAGTATTCTTCAGCAATGAAAGCTGAAGATCATTTTTTAGCAATTTTAGGATTGTTTTTGATTGCAATCTATGCTATCCCTTTAATAGGGCCTTGGAGATAATTAGCCTTTTGGTATTTAAATCTGTGAAATGCATGGTCATTCAAACATGAATCTCTGGTGGAAAATTAATAGCACAGTTTATTCAATGGCTGATTTCCTGGTGTTATAATTGCCTGGCTATGAATAAATGTTTCAGTTATTGACTAAACATCTGATAAGGCCAAATACAAACAGGATATTTGTGAAGTAGAAATGCTCTGCTCACTAAGACATGGCATTACTTCTATTCATTTTAACATAGATGATCACTCTATGAAATTCTAGAGTAAATAACACTTTAAACTTTATTTGAATTTTAAAGACTTGTTTTATGTTCCCTATTGTTTCTAGGTTTGGAGCACTTTCTGAGCTATGTATACGATAGATTTAAAATACACTAGAAGTGCTTTATGCATTAAATTTGAAAAAAAAAATGTAGCTGTTTAAACATGAGATTCTTTAAAAATGTGGCCTTTACATCGGTGTAAACAATGATTCTTCTAGGTTTGACTTTGACCATCAAATCCATTTAGCTTTTAATTGTTTAGAGGTACTGTGTCTATTCTATGATTTATCTAGATCAGTCTTTTACTTCTTTATACTTCCTACATTTGTTTATTAAACATAAAAAGCACAGTAAAAACTGAACTATCATCTGGCAGCCACGATAACTGAATACTGTTCTGTAGGTGAATAATTGAAAGGTGATTGCTTTGATTTTTTTAAATAATATGCGAATCTCCTAATACTCAGTATGCTTGTACCTCAAAAAATTTAACAAAAACAAACAAAAAAATTGGGTCCAGTATTTTTTTCATTTAGTTTTAATATAGATTACACTAAAGTCTTTGTTCACTACCAAGAGATAGAAACTGATACAAGTCATAGTAAAAAAAAAAAAAATCATTATCATGTCTGGGGCAAAATAGATACCTTCATTCAAGAAGAGAGTGTTAAGTATTATGCCAAGAAAGAGAAGTAAGTCTTGTGTTACATATGTAACACGTACTGTGATGTCCTATATTAATAAAAGGTACCTTAAAAATGAAAATGAGTTCACTGAGATCTGGAGAGATGAGATGATTGGCCCAAGGTCAACCACTAGCACCGAAGGCACTAATGCTGTTGTCCTAACGTGTCTGTAATGTTTTTGCAACATGAACAGTGATTTATTGTTGAGAATAAATGCATTTATCAGGCACTAATTCTGTGGCCATCACTGTGTGGAGCAGTTTGCATAAATTCTTATTTAATATTCACAACAATCTTTTGATATAATTATAAGAGAGAGAGAGCAGGAGAGGGATAGAGGAAAAGGAATAGAGAGAGAATCCCAAGCAGGCTCCACACTGTCAGAGCAGAGCCTGATGTGGAGCTCAAACTCATGCACTGTGAGTTCATGTCCTGGATTGAAATCGAGAGTCAGATGTTTAACCTACTGAGCCACACAGGCACCCCAATTATTGCTATTTTTAACTTGGAGTAGAGAAAATGAGACCCAGGGAGAAAATTAAGTGACTTTAACAAGATCGTACCATAGTAATGAAGGGGGTCCTGAATTCAAAGCTTGGACTTCCTGATTCTGAAGCTCATGTTCCAAATCCCTAAGATATGGCTATTCCAGAACTGACTTCATTATTTGGTGTTAGGAGTCAGGATAGATCTACTGGTTTACATATACTGATTTATTTTATTTAATCTCAGGGATAATATAGAATAAAATAGTTTTATTTTCCTTCTTGTTTGAGGTTCAGTTCACATGGCTGTTTGGTAATAATTTTGTACTGCTAAGTTCAAATACACACATAACCTGCTTTGAGGTCCTTTTGTTTTCAGAGGACACTGTGATCAAAAAATCATCATATTAAGAAAGGAAAAGGCAAATAGAAAATACGGTAACGCTGTGTTAAAGGAGGAACTGTAAAACTGTTTTCCAAAGTGACTGCGCCCTTTTACACTTCCAACCAGCAATACATGAAGGTTTCACTTCCTTCACATCCTCGGCAACACTTGTTATTTTCTCTCTTTTTTGAGTATAGTCATTCTAGTACAGGTGGATTGCAAAAGTCCTTAACTCCAGTCATGGAATGGGGGCTTGGGTGGGTGTGGGAGTGTGGTACGTGAACCAGTGAAAAGTCATATGACTCCAAAGAGACATCCGTGGTTTTCATGAGACTCTGGGAGTACAGGTTGACCTCAAACCACTCAAGAACTGCTTTCATGTTGTATAAATGAAACCAGAACTTAGATTTTCATTTTTTTCTCAATTGTCAATCCTGTGCCCAGTTTTTAAATAGTAATGTTTGTTAGCATTGTTCTCTTCTTTAGAAGGAAATATTAAGAAATACTGGCATTCATTTTTCACAGTTTTAAAAGCAGGACATTTTCCTAGCTAAGCATTATATATATTTAAAAAATTTATCAGCCATTCTTTTTGTTCTCTAGATCTCAGAGGCAGCACATATGCCCTGTAGATTCTGCAGTTGACCTTGCTTAATGGATAATATAAGAACATACAGTTATGGATATGAATCTTGTGAGTCATCCTTTGGAAGCTGCTATTACCTGCACAGTCAGGCTGAGAACTGATTGGAAAAAATTGGTAGATAGATGCAAATGAACACACACACAGTTTTCTTCCTTCCTTCCTACCTTCCTTCCTCCTTTCCTTCCCTTCTCCTTCTTTTTCTTCAAAGGCAGATGGTTTGTGTTCTTTAAAGCTTACAAAGAATTTGAAACACACTTTTAATTTTAATTCACGACTATGATTTGCTCATTACGGATTTGTTAGTTTAGTTTGTTTGTTTTGCCTTAATTATCCACTAGATATCTCTGGGCTAGGCACCAGCAGTGCCAAAACAATGTCTGTCTCCGACTATGGAAAAATACCACATAATAATTAACAACAAAAACATTCAGGAGTTAATAGTTGAGCACATGAGCCCAATAACCTTATCAGCACTGGGATACAGCAACGCACATAACAGGCAAAATCCTGCTGTGATATTTCTAGGGGCAGAATATAAACAATACAGTAAGTATGTGAAAAATATGGCCTATGAGATGATGATAAATACTAAGGAGAAAAAGAAATGCATCACCAAGTTGATATTTGAGCAAAACTCTGAAGGAAGTGAGGGAGTGAACTATGCAGATACACGGGGAAAAGCACTCTTGTAGAGAGACAGAAAATTTCTGAGGTAGAAACATGCCTGTGGTATTCCAGGAGGCCAGTGCAACTGGTGCATTGTAATTTTACATTTTTTTTAATGTTTATTTTTTTGAGAGAGAGAAAGAGTGAGACAGAGTACAAGCAGGGGAGGGGCAGAGAGAGAGGGAGACACAGAATCGGAAACAGGCTCCAGGCTCTGAGCCATCAGCCCAGAGCCTGACGCGGGGCTGAACTCACGAACCACGAGATCGTGACCTGGCTGAAGTCGGACGCCTAACCGACTGCGCCACCCAGGCGCCCCAATGTTTATTTATTTTTGAGAGAGAGAGAGAGAGAGAGAGCACAAGCAGGGGAGGGGCAGAGAGAGAAAGGAGACACAGAATCTGAAGCAGGCTCCAGGCTTGGAGCTGTCAGCACAGAGCCCAAGGCGGGGCTTGAACCCACAAACCGTGAGATCGTGACCTGAGCCGAAGTGGGATGCTTAATGGACTGTAACTGGTGCACTGTAAAAGAGAAGAGGGTAAAAGAGGTAGCAAGGGCTCAGATGTGACAGACCA